TGGAATACCTCTCCTGTGAGGAAATGTTGAGAGAATTGATGTTGTTCAGCCTTGAGAAGAGAAAGTTCAGAGAGACCTTATAGTGGCCTTTCAATGTATAAAGAGGGCTTATATGGAAGACTGAGAGCAACTTTTTACCACAGCCTGTAGTGACAAAAGAAGGGGCAATGGTTTTAACAGTCAAAGAATATAGGTTTAGACTGGATATAAGGAAGTAATTCTTTTACAATAAGGGCGGTGAGGCACTGGCACAGGTTGCCCAGAGAACTTGTGGATGCCCCATCCCTGGTAGTGTTCAAAGTCAGGTCAGATGGTGTTTTGAGCACCCTGACCTAGTGAAAGATGTTTATTTCTATGGCAGGGGCTTGGACTAGATTGTCTTTAAAGGTGCCCTCCAACCCAAACTATTCTATAATTCTATACCCCACTATTTTAACATATATTTGTTATATATTTCAATAACATACTTCAGAGAAAAGTCACAGGCTCAAAGCTATAAAAAACACAAACAAACCCAGAACCCACCTCAAGAATGAAAAAAGCAAGGACAGATTAGGACCTCGCTCCAACACAGTACCAGAGACAAAGGCAGCACACTCTTAGATCTAATAATATACACCATGCCAGACACCAGATGGCCTGTCCAAAACCAGCCATGAAAAACTTACTGTTAAAGAGTATTTAAACCAGGGCCTCCCAGACTGCAGACCTACCTGCCCTGCCATCAGATAAACCTTAGTGCTGTTTCAACTTTAGAAGAGTGAAACAGAGTGCACAGCCACATTTTCCACTGAGTCAAGTTTCACAGATGTATCTTGATTTTCTTCTATTCAAAAGGCATTCTGACATGGAAAAGCTGAGAAAGATGATACTTTCATTAAGATATACTTCATTATTCCCTCACCCACTGCAGTAAGAGGAACTTTTACTTAAAGAAGGGACAGCAATACCCACATTCTTAATAAGAAAGATTTAAAACGTTACCATCGAATGTGATCAGCATCATTAAACCCATGATCACAGTTCATGATCCTCTAAGTAATGTCAGTAACACGACAGATAAAAATATAGCATGGAGACCACGGAGTCATGACACTAGACACCCTAAGTAGTTTTTAAAAGCTAACATGTTTCTAATAAAAGCATTAAACAGAACAATTTTATCTAAATCGATAGCCAGCTGTACTTAAAAACTATGATCATTATGACTCGTAAACAGATAAAATCCTATCAAGCACAATTACCCTCTTTATACAAAGGCAAAAGCATTTAGATAAACCACACTGACTGTCACATTCTCCAAATGCGGCCACTTAGAAGTGACTGAACTTTCATGGCTGATGCTGAGTCCTGGACACTTTCTTTAATGGTTGTCACTAGAGCATCTCTTACAGCACTAAGGGATAGGAGTCAAAAGAAAATAAGAACAGTTTTTACAACTGTCATCAAACAACAGTTACTCCTGTTGCAGACCTAAGCAGAATTTATATAAAGAGGGGAAACATATTCCAAGCAGCCTGTTCATTCATCAGGGACTGCAGTGACAGGACAAGGAGAAAGGGGTTTAAACTAAAACAGGGGAAATTTAGGTTGTATATAGGAAAGTTCTTCCCTATGAGGGTGGTGAGGCACTGGCACAGCATAGCCAAAGAAGTGGTAAATGTTCCATCCCTGGCAGTGTTCAAGGCCAGGTTGGACAGAGCCTTGGGTGACATGGTCTAGTGTGAGGCATCCCTACGCATGGCAAGGGGTTGGAAATGGATGATCTTCAGGTCCTTTCCAACCAAAAACCATCCTATGATTCTATGATTTTTCATTATATAAACAAGACATGCAAAAGTATGGAAATGAGTATGAAAACTTTGTAAACCAGTAGCTAGCAACAATCTTACAGAAGTAGAGGCTTGGAGGAAGGGAGATGGGGATTGGCATATCAAGAAGGTGTGGGAAGGAAATATAAGTGAACGATAGCTTGATGTACAAAAGAATGCTACCTACCAGTAGATAGAGACCCCTTCGAGGCATAAGCCTACATGCACGTTTCACAACCTGATCAGGCAAAACATCCAAAGAGGTAGGTACTGCATGTCAGAACGCAGTAGAAAAAAAGTTATACATGCCCCCATCCTGAGCTAAGGAACACCTTCCCACATTGGAAACTCTTAAAGAGTTCTCACAGAGGCAGGTGTGTCTCTCCTGGGCTCAATTACCAAAAAGCCTCAAGTTCCCTTGTATTACCTACACTGGCAAACTGCAGACAAACCATCCAACTTGGCAACTGTTGTCCCTCAGGTACCAGAAGCAGTTAACTGCCGTACTATTTTGAAACAAATGCAGCTTGAACACTCTTTTTAGGAGTTCTTTTAGAAAAAAACACAGCACATAGAAACACTTGCAGGAACAACTTTCTACAAGTCATGAAGCATTTGAAGTCCATTGGAAAGACTTGATGACATAAAAATATTTCTAAAACCAAAAGTCAGCCCAGTGACTACAATTTAGGAAAGACAGGGGGTAAAAGCTTTCCAAGAAGAAAAGAAATAAACATGTTGATGGAAACTCTTTAAGCAAAGGAACTTATTCTGACCCTACCAAGCAGTCAGAATCCACTGAAAGGAAAAGTAATATGCAGCTTTATAAATGTAGGCAAAACATGATTTGTTTTACAGTGTTTGGCTAAACTCATTTGCATATCAGGAGAAAAAACTTCTTCTTAAGGGTCTTGTGCACAGGTATGGTATTACCTACACAAACAATCCAGCTACTGATCTATGAACTTTGCTCTTTCTCTGAGGTTTTTCTTATTCAAAGTAGATGACTCCAAGGAGCGTGTTCCAGTTCAAGTAAGTTATCCAGAGACAGGATCAATGTTTCTAGCTGAAAAGATGATGTGGGACTGCTCTCCTCAATGCTTGAAGGCCTCAGTTATCACACAATACTTAATGTGATCTGAGCCCTAAGCAACAGAAATACAGATTTCTGGAAAGAAAGCATCCTTCAACATGCTGCTGAGCTCACTTACACTACAGTAGGAACTATCATGACTTACTCCTAACAGTTCCAACTTAGCTACTTAAGCTGCTCTTTGGCAGAAGTTGAAAAACACATGCAGCTCAGACCACTCGCATGAGACTTCTTTGCTACAGAAATAAACACACAGACTTTTCCCTTCGCTTATGTCTGGCAGCAAAAGAAAGCTATGTTCTGAGGGCCTTCAAAAGAAAACTGTTAGGTTAATAATGCTGACCTTGACAAAATTCAGAAGCTGCCTGAAGGTTGGATTGATCATTCAGTGGTATTTATGCCTTCTTTTGTTAGGACAGAAATGTAAAGTAACAGGGCTTGAATCACCACTACTCTGAAACAAGTGATAGCTGCTACAACGACTGTCTCCCTGAAGAGGTGCAACAGCAACAGTTTAAAAGGCTGACTAGTACACTGAAGAATAGGATCACTCTCTGAGGGTAAAATCCTTACTGAAGTGTGAGGAAACTACAGAGGAAGACCTAAACCTGGCAGATTCTGGAGGCAGAGAAAGGCTTACTGCCATCAACGCAAGGTGAGCTCTTCAGTTGCTACAAAGGAGAGAAAAGGGCAAAATTATGTGTTTATCCTTCCCTTTGGGCCTCCTATTACAGACCACATGAATGACTAGCAGAAAGGACTGCTTGCAGTTGATCCCACTGCAGGTGGGGGGCTTGAATAGTGTTGAGAATAAAGAAGGTGAAGTAGTAGGGCTTGATGAAAAATAAACTAGCAATTTCTTTTGACATATACATCGGATTTTTTGCTTTGCCACTAAGCTGCTTTTCCAAAGAGAAAACACTCATATGAGAGAAAATTCACAGATCCCAGAATGATACCAAAGACAAATATGGGGTTTTCTCCTGGTTATTTTTAAAGCTGTGGGCTTAAAATCCCTGAGAACTTGTTGATACATATGAGGTGATCCCCTAAAAAAAAGCAAAGATACATACTCTTACTGTGAGGGTGGTGAGGCGCTGGCACAAGGTGCCCACAGAAGCTGTGGCTGCCCCATCCCTGGCAGTGTTCAAAGCCAGGCTGGACACAGGGGCTTGGAGCAACCTGCTCTGGTGGAAGGTGTCCCTGCCTGTGGCAGGGGGTTTGAACTAGATGATATTTAAGGTCATTCCAATGTAAACCATTATGATTCTGTGATATGAACACCTGAAACTGTATCAAACCTTAAGCCATGAAATACACCTGGAAGCCTGATGTTTTAGGTTTTAGAAGGGCCATGAAAAATAAAGGATAAACCCAAACAAATCAATCAAAGACATAGGTAATATACCAAAAGACATCAGAAGACCTATGACTTAATCTGTAGGTTGGATTAGGCTCCAGCCTTATTGAAGTATGTGAAGGAAAGGTCACAGCAATGTTACTGCTGGACCAAAGTAGTCCATGGTTGCAGGTTTTTGGGTATATGCCACCTTTCAACTAGAATTTCAAAATCTAAGCATGTCTTTGCATAAGAGCTCAGAATTATAAGTATCCAATCTTTTTGAACAGAAGTTTCAAAAGTGGGATAAAATTGGCTTGATGTTTCTCAGTTTGTCACTAAGAAAATGGTAAGATTGTGTAGCTCTTTTGTGAAGTAAACCTACAGCCTTGCAGGACAAGTGACAAAAATATTATTTCTACCTTCCTGGAGTTACAGAACAACAAACCAAGTTATTGGCATAAGAAGTTAGCGACTTGACATTTTACGCTGATGTTCACTTGAGTGGGTATCTTTTGAAAACATCTTGATAAAAAAAGCATTTCAAAGCTCTAACAAAATGGTCCTAAATTGGCCAAGACTGGCACAGAAACAAGATTAAAGATGCCATACGCTAAGAATTTGGTTACTTTAGACAACTTACTGATGTAAAATTAGTTCGAAAACTACTAAGAAACCAAGGTTCTAAAAAAAATGCTTCCTATGCAATATTTGATAGAATACATTAAATTTCACAAACATATTCCAGTCATCTTACCTCTTGTCCTGAAAGGTAGTATGCTGCTAGAAGACCCCCAATGAAACGAATATTGACCTCAAAAACAGACACTTCGGAATTCTAGAATAGAAAGAAAGAGTCAATATTAAACCAACTCCCTAATCAGCAAAGGGAAAATAATCACCAAAGCAGAGGCCTTGTTTGGATTGTTTCAGTATCTAGATACACACTGAACTTCCCATGCACATCTTCACGACACCAAATGATAATTCTAATTATAACTTCAACTGATTTTTAAAAAGTCAAACTAGTTTTTCTCCTGCTCTCTAACCTTATCATCACCACAAAGTACAATTAAAGTTGTTTAGGGATAGTGGGAAAGAAGAAAGCATCTGCATATTTCCATAATGCAGCATCTTTTCTCTTACATTTAAGCATACCACTGCCATCCCTGATGACATTCAAGACCAGGCTGGATGTGATTCTGTGCAATCTGATCTAGCTGAAGATGCCCCTGGTCATTGCAGAGGAGTTGGACTAGATGAGCTTTGAAGGTACCTTCCAATGCAAACTGTGCTATCATTCTATAACAGCAAGTCTTCTGGGTTCATAGGATAAAGCAGAATAATAATTAGGTAATTCCTGTAATGCACTTTCTTAACCTGAATTACCAATGTGCAATCTCAAATTCAGAGCTCCATTTTAACATAGCCTCTGTTTAGGAATAGCCTTTATGTATTTAATGTTATGACAAGTAGTACTGCAACACCACCAAGAAACTCAAGGGAATGAACCGCTTTACTGCCTTCCTCCACATTAATATCACTGGGCTAAATTCACCAATATCTTGTGACTCATTTGAACTGAAAATTTAAGAGGAGCTAGATTGTTTTTACATCTTTCTGCCTCCCTCTGCACCCCATTCACTCCTTTGCCTGCATACACCCTATCTCATAAGCTTCTAATTCAACCCATTAAACACAGGAATGTAGTCTTATTAGAAGATTTTGAGATAAGGGAGATTTCTCCTTTTAGCCAGAAAAGTGACTACAATGTACACTGTACAAGTTGACCCATCCATTAGCACACAGTTCAAATTTATGGATATGTCTTTCCTTTCACACTATTTCTATGGCACCTGAAGCATTTTGCTTGTATCCAAAATAAATGTACTTTGCACATATTACTTATTTCAGAAAGATTCTATAAATAGGCTAAAGAGTTCCTCAAATAGCACTAATGATTAAAAGTCTGAAGTTTGAAATACTCCAAATACAGGTTTTTAGTAAAGAGATATTTTTATTGACATAGAGGTGACAAGAAAAATATCAACAGTGCAGCATATTATTCTATTTAATACCTATGAAGGTCATGAATCACACAAGCAATGGTACAGTGTAGAGTGAAAACAATGATTTCTGTTTCCCAGTAAAAGAATCCAAGAGGAACAAATTTATATATTTATAAACTTCAAGCCATGTAAGGAAGTTACTCAAGTCTGGTGTATAAGGCAAGTCACTAACCTTCAGAAGTGTTCTCTGATACACAGGAAGCTGTCATTGAAACTTAGACTCTTGGAATACACAGTCTGATTCTAAACCTACTTTGAGGACAACCTTCCTGGTCTAATGGAGGGTGTCCCTGCCCTCCATTAGTCTGGGATTCTATGATTCTATGTAAGTTTCTGCAAATTTATATTGAGATCAACCTTAGATCAGACAAAGTTAAGGAAGTAATTTAGTTTACCCTCATAATGGTACCATTATGTCTACGCTTTTTGATACATAGGATCTTCAGTTTTAGACTGAATAATTATCTGATATTAACTGAAAAAAGCAGAGTAGAATCTCTTTAATGTTTGCCAGATAGTCAATGTATAAAACAAAAGAAAAACACCCAAACAAATAATTTCTGAAATGTAAGCTATAACATAAACACAACAGGAAACATCTGCTCAATTCTAACTGTATCCCTACATTTCATTTTGTGAATTAATGGGTGGAACCACAGGGAAAGTCTAAGGATTGAAATACAAATTGCATCACAAGCTGGTGACAGTCCCCAAATCAGTAATAGGAACACTAATTGAGAAGGAAAAAATAGAACCATTTCTTCCATTTAACACTTCCCAACTCTGCACACAGAAAGAAATGCTGTATGATCAAGTGGGAAATTTTTGTGATAGATTCAGAACAGACAAACTAAGATAATTCAGATGACGTTCTTCATGTTAAAACATCTTAAGGACATGGAAGAAGAAGAGATTTTACTGTTAGGTAATTTATACACTATGGTTTGGGAAGAAATTGTCTTTCACAGCTCAGTTACTTCCAACTACTACGACCTAGTAAAGCCTCATTTCTGAGGCCTTGTCAGTTCTCACTGTCTACTTCCCCTCTCTTCCACTTTCCAATTATAAGCTGGACTTTGGAAATACAATATATAGATATATCTTCGCTCATAATTTAAAGTGTGAAAGGGTTGGGATGTTACAAACACAGAGAACTTCCCTAAAGCTTACATTGATACTTTATATCCTAAGTTTTTAAAGTTCCAGCTGAAAGACCTCTTCTGTCTCTCCCTCAAGGGGAACACTGTGAAAAGGACTAGGGAAGTGTTAAGGACAGCTCCACTTACCACACTGAAATCAAGGTTTTTGTCAATCCACTCTTGTCCTTCTCTGAATTCATCGTGAAGCCCCATGATATAAAGAGTATCCAATGCATCTACTATGGTAGCACCCATTTGTGAGTTTCCTGCACAGAAAAAGAAGGATTTCTATTACAAGTGATTATTTCATTACTTTTATTAAACTTCACAAGCATAAGAAAATAACCCAAGTGGTAGTAAAGCAAAGTTACAACAAAGATGACAGCACAAAGAATAATCAAAACGAGCAAGGAATTAGCAGCTACATAAGAGGATAACACTTCTCTTTCAAAGCATCAGTCCTCTGGCACAGTTTGGCTTCTGGGGACAAAAAGACAACTAATGACAGAAAAAAACCCTCTTCTCATTTGCTTTCCTAACCTGAACATGAGCAACTGTACTTTGGCACAAAAAAAGGACAGAAAGACATTCAGCTTCAAAAAGCTATTAGGAATTCTAGGACAGAAGCGTTAAAAAAAAGCATACGCAAGATAAAGCAATTTGTACTTGCAGTAATGCCTTGCGCTTCCCAACATTGACTACTGAAACAGTAATTACAGAAGCTACCTAGTCACTAAAGCATGGGCTGATGAGCACAGACACCCAGACCTTGTTCAACTGATAAAGCCACAGCCCCAAGATCTTCACATCATTGCCTGCAAAGGACCCACACTATGAGATGCTGATGGATTCCTCAACTGCCACCATTTAAAGTGTAGCATTTAAAGCCAAATAAAAATCAATGGTGCTTTACTCTAAAATACTGTTCACTTGAAACAGCAGCAATTTCAAGGCAATTGACGAGTGACTCATTGGTTTGTACACAGGAGACAAGATGAAGAGGTAGTGAGCTATTGCCCATGTTAGCCTTGACCTCCTTAGGCCATCTCAACCTAAGCTGTTGCCATTAGTAGGCAGAGATCTTTGTTTCTAGAGGAAAGCAAAAATTATCATTTTTGCATTTCTTTTCATGGTGTGTATAAAACTTCCTAGGCAGTAAAAGTAGCCAAATTTCACTGTTCATACCAGTATTCTATAAAACAGTACAATAACTTCATGATTAGCAATTTAATGACGGTAGTCTCCTAGCAAGTTAAGCCAATTATATTTTTTTTTAATGTGCTTTTCATCCATAGTGAAATCTCTACAGTGCAGTGTTCCTGCTTGTTGTTTCTATTCATTCATTTCTGGGTTTTACATGTTTAGAGGTACTTTTTCCCCTCAAGCATAACAATAACTGAAGCCATCACCCCATTGTATTTCTTTTCACATACCTAAATGACTGATACCTACATGCAAGCTTAACTATTTTCAGGGATTTTTTTTTTTCCCTGAATAATAAAAATTAAACACAACAGCCTCTATGACAAAGTAATCATCAGCTAATTTCTTCAGAAATAGCCATGCATCTGTTTTAATTTAAACTAGATATGGAAAGCCTAAAGTCGAGTATAGAACAGGACACACTATCTTTCACAAGATTAAAGACACTTTCTTTGACAAATTGGCCACCAGGCATACCTATAACTCTCAGGAAATGAATTCACTGTGGTGGGGTAAGTACTGTAAGGTTGAATGCCTTCAGCCAAATGACAAATTCCACTGCTTGTGCTGAAGTGGAGGTTGCTTTGAGCAGAACTACAGTTTGCATTTAACTCTGCACCTATTCATAAGTATTAATGTGATGGTTATCTAATTAATCACTTTAAACACACAAATCAGACCATGACACAACGATGAACTTCAGTATTAGCCAACAAGGTATTTCTGACCTGGGGTTGGAGTGTGTTATACTGTTATGGCACTCAAAGCAATTTCTGTTCCTTTATTTAAGTCACATTGATACTGGTAATTTCCAAATACATGAGATGTTTGAACAAACAGGGATAATCCTGAAAGTTCCTCTTGTAATAGTTTCAAAAACCAAAAACTTTAACTTAAACACAGTTATAACCACATCAGTAAACTCTCATATTTGACATCTAGCATAGGGTGTGGAGAAAAGTTACAAAGAGAAAACATTTCCCATTCATAACAGAGTATGGGTTTTTCCCTTTCATAACCATACTAAGATTCAACAATTTTGCCTTAAAGGACAAGAGGAAAGTCTTCCTGGACATAAACTGCAGAAAGTGTCATTTAAAAGTAATGAAATAACTCTAAACAATGAGATAATAGTCTACACTGCTTACTATCACCTCAACCAGTCTGATCTATTATTGCTTTGAATATAGAGAGAGCAGATGTCTCATTGTGGTGAAAAAGGCTATAAAACAATTAAATTATAACTGAAAATAACACTTCTCCTAGCTGAAGGCACTCCTCCCATATCCCGCCCAGGTCTGCCTCTGCTCAATACAAAGGCTCAGTTGGTCACGTTGAATAAGATAATAACTGATTCTAAAAGGGCTCAGTTTTACAAATGTCAGATTAGGAAGTTTCCTCTCTCTATAATTATAGTTCTAGTTGATTGAGCTCCAAATTTAATGAAGTTTGCCTAATGAATGCAAAGCTCATTCTTCTAAATAAAACAGAACATCCATCATGAGTTAATGGAAGGAATTTAGCAGTAAAATAGCTGAACTATTAATAAAACCATGCACGCTTTCATTAAGCAAGAGTATTATTCCAAAGGACTGCAAAATAGTAATTCAGATTTATATTTAGGTAGACTTCAGTTTCCTGGGATTAGACAAATAATACCTTCACTTGATAGCACATAAATCTACAGTCTGAAATATCCAACAAATCATATGACTAAGTGTAAACAGAAGGGCCATTAAAAGAAAAATAGCTTTTCTATTTAAAATTCTTTCAGTATGCTAAAGTGTTAGATGAAGAATTGGTTTATTTATACCATTTCAAAGTCTCACAAGAGACTATCAAAGTACAAGGAGACAGATCTTTGTGATGTGTTCCATGACAAAAGGAATATGTACCATAAGTATAGAGATTTAGAAAGTCTGATACCAGATACAAGGTTGCTTACGGTATTTATTATGTGGAAGCAGAAGAGGCTATGAGCAGTGAGGTACTAGAGAAAATAGGTGAACTAGCATAGATCAATTATGATTAGAGAAGACCATGAAAATCTGAGACACAGACATATTATGTAAATAAGGAACTAGACAACAGATTAAAACTCTACACCAGCAAACTGAGGTCATGAATTCCGAGCTGAAAAGTAACCATCAAATAGGTGCTTCACAGAAATTTTCATTACTTGACACACTGAATCATAGAATGGTTTGGGTTGGTAAAGGGCCTTAAGATCACCCACTTCCAACCCTCTGCCATGGGCAGGGAGGGACGCCTTTCACTAAACCATGTCTCCCAAGGTTCTGTCCAGCCTGGCCTTGAACATTGCCAGGGCCGGGGCAGCCACAGCTTCTCTGGGCAACCTGTGCCAGTGCCTCAGCACCCTCACAATAAAGAACTTCTTCCTTATATCTACTCTGAACTTCCCCTGTTTAAGGTTAAACCCATATCCCCTTGTCCTATCATTACAGTCCCTAATAAAGAGTCCCTCTCCAGCACCCTTATAGGCCCCCTTCAGATACTGGAAGCTGCTCTGAGGTCTTCATGCAGCTTCTCTCCTTCAGGCTGAACAGCCCCAGCTTTCTTAGCCTGTCTTTGTACATATCCCGTATCTATTCCTTTCTTCAACAGGTATACACCACAGACAAATATCACTACCTCTTCCAAAAAAGCACTTCCATAGGGGTTTTCTTTAGCCTGAATTGAGGGCTGAGTGTGTGTACTGGGTCTGGTTGGGATGTAGTTAGTTTTCTTCACAGCAGAACATATGGTGCTGTGTTTTGGATTCGTGACTAAACCAGTGTTGATAACACACCAGAGTTTTGGCACAGCAGGGGACAGTCTGGCAGGTAGCCATTGCTCAGGGACCACTTGGGCTTCAGTCTGCTTGTGGTAGCTCGTGAGTGAGTGTCTTTGCATTACTTTCCTCCCTCTCATCCCTTTCCTTCACCTAGTAAAGTATCTTTACATCAATGCATGGGCTTTCTTGCTTTTGCTCTTCCTATTCTCTCCCCTGCCTCACTGGGGAAAAAATTCTCCTTCTTTCCCTTTCACCATCTGTCTGTACTTCAATCCTCTTGTGTTATAAGTGTGTTAGTGTCTTACAACACACTTGGCATCTACCAAAAGACAAGTCAGAGGAGTACAAACCTGAAGGAAATTCAGCCTGTTCAAATGGAACTCTCATTATCAAATTGCACACTAGGTCACAGCAGGGCTATTACAAAGCCAAGGCAACCAGCCTTAAGTGGAAAGTTACCATTAAGCCACTTTGCCTCCAGGGAAAGTCATATACAATAGGTCTAATAGGTGCATGTAGCCATTCTTACCCTTCTCCTTTATGCAGTGACAAAAAAGGAAATACTCTATTACTAAGCAGAAAAGACAGCAGATGAAAGATCCTGAAGTCGGATGCTCATCAGTTCACTTACAATCAAGGTAGGCTTTGACTATTTCCTCAGCCAGTGCCAAAAATAACAGAGGAATCTAAGAGAGACTGTTATTCTGGTTTACAAGGACAGTCTGTGGATACCACCAGCAACTATATTTTGAAGAAAACTAAGGGAATTGGCAAGGCTGCTTGAGTAAAAAAACAAGAAGTCAGGTATAGTAAAAGCATTCGGGCTGATACAGAGGCAACTGCCTCTATATCATACAAATAACAAGTATATCTGTTTCAATCTTTGCTAGGAAATAAGTTATTTTATACTGTAGAAAGCGAACTTCTCTTCATAAGCATTAGAAAGCTGAATCTATAGTTAGTTAATGCATAGAGACTAGAGATCTGGATGTAAGGAAATGGCTTTCACTCTTAAAACAGCATAGTCAATGGGATGATCATACTGATGGACAGAACCATAAGATACAAATAGACCTGTGTGCAAGAAATAGTATTGTCTCGGCCACTCATATCTAGCTCTTATTTTTTCAGGGCCCTGGAGAGACATCATTTACTCGAAGCACAACCTATTCCTACTGGTTCAAAACACCTTTGATTGCTGGTGTCATTAACTGGAGGTGGAAAGAAGATTACTTTGCAAAAGGAATCTAAGACAAATAAAGTGTCAAG